TTATTAAAAATCAATATTTACATTAAAAGTTATATTATTTTAAAATTTAATATTTTGATAATAGTAATATTTGTTGAACTTTTAAGGAATTTTTTTTGAATAGAGCAACATGTATATTAATTTTTATGGTAATAATTTTTTTTTAAAAAAAATTTCACAATCAATATAGATCTTATTTGATAAATCTTGATGAGAGAATTTTAAAAATATTTATTTTATTAAAAATCAATATTTACATTAAAAGTTATATTATTTTAAAATTTAATATTTTGATAATAGTAATATTTGTTGAACTTTTAAGGAATTTTTTTTGAATAGAGCAACATGTATATTAATTTTTATGGTAATAATTTTTTTTTAAAAAAAATTTCACAATCAATATAGATCTTATTTGATAAATCTTGATGAGAGAATTTTAAAAATATTTATTTTATTAAAAATCAATATTTACATTAAAAGTTATATTATTTTAAAATTTAATATTTTGATAATAGTAATATTTGTTGAACTTTTAAGGAATTTTTTTTGAATAGAGCAACATGTATATTAATTTTTATGGTAATAATTTTTTTTTAAAAAAAATTTCACAATCAATATAGATCTTATTTGATAAATCTTGATGAGAGAATTTTAAAAATATTTATTTTATTAAAAATCAATATTTACATTAAAAGTTATATTATTTTAAAATTTAATATTTTGATAATAGTAATATTTGTTGAACTTTTAAGGAATTTTTTTTGAATAGAGCAACATGTATATTAATTTTTATGGTAATAATTTTTTTTTAAAAAAAATTTCACAATCAATATAGATCTTATTTGATAAATCTTGATGAGAGAATTTTAAAAATATTTATTTTATTAAAAATCAATATTTACATTAAAAGTTATATTATTTTAAAATTTAATATTTTGATAATAGTAATATTTGTTGAACTTTTAAGGAATTTTTTTTGAATAGAGCAACATGTATATTAATTTTTATGGTAATAATTTTTTTTTAAAAAAAATTTCACAATCAATATAGATCTTATTTGATAAATCTTGATGAGAGAATTTTAAAAATATTTATTTTATTAAAAATCAATATTTACATTAAAAGTTATATTATTTTAAAATTTAATATTTTGATAATAGTAATATTTGTTGAACTTTTAAGGAATTTTTTTTGAATAGAGCAACATGTATATTAATTTTTATGGTAATAATTTTTTTTTAAAAAAAATTTCACAATCAATATAGATCTTATTTGATAAATCTTGATGAGAGAATTTTAAAAATATTTATTTTATTAAAAATCAATATTTACATTAAAAGTTATATTATTTTAAAATTTAATATTTTGATAATAGTAATATTTGTTGAACTTTTAAGGAATTTTTTTTGAATAGAGCAACATGTATATTAATTTTTATGGTAATAATTTTTTTTTAAAAAAAATTTCACAATCAATATAGATCTTATTTGATAAATCTTGATGAGAGAATTTTAAAAATATTTATTTTATTAAAAATCAATATTTACATTAAAAGTTATATTATTTTAAAATTTAATATTTTGATAATAGTAATATTTGTTGAACTTTTAAGGAATTTTTTTTGAATAGAGCAACATGTATATTAATTTTTATGGTAATAATTTTTTTTTAAAAAAAATTTCACAATCAATATAGATCTTATTTGATAAATCTTGATGAGAGAATTTTAAAAATATTTATTTTATTAAAAATCAATATTTACATTAAAAGTTATATTATTTTAAAATTTAATATTTTGATAATAGTAATATTTGTTGAACTTTTAAGGAATTTTTTTTGAATAGAGCAACATGTATATTAATTTTTATGGTAATAATTTTTTTTTAAAAAAAATTTCACAATCAATATAGATCTTATTTGATAAATCTTGATGAGAGAATTTTAAAAATATTTATTTTATTAAAAATCAATATTTACATTAAAAGTTATATTATTTTAAAATTTAATATTTTGATAATAGTAATATTTGTTGAACTTTTAAGGAATTTTTTTTGAATAGAGCAACATGTATATTAATTTTTATGGTAATAATTTTTTTTTAAAAAAAATTTCACAATCAATATAGATCTTATTTGATAAATCTTGATGAGAGAATTTTAAAAATATTTATTTTATTAAAAATCAATATTTACATTAAAAGTTATATTATTTTAAAATTTAATATTTTGATAATAGTAATATTTGTTGAACTTTTAAGGAATTTTTTTTGAATAGAGCAACATGTATATTAATTTTTATGGTAATAATTTTTTTTTAAAAAAAATTTCACAATCAATATAGATCTTATTTGATAAATCTTGATGAGAGAATTTTAAAAATATTTATTTTATTAAAAATCAATATTTACATTAAAAGTTATATTATTTTAAAATTTAATATTTTGATAATAGTAATATTTGTTGAACTTTTAAGGAATTTTTTTTGAATAGAGCAACATGTATATTAATTTTTATGGTAATAATTTTTTTTTAAAAAAAATTTCACAATCAATATAGATCTTATTTGATAAATCTTGATGAGAGAATTTTAAAAATATTTATTTTATTAAAAATCAATATTTACATTAAAAGTTATATTATTTTAAAATTTAATATTTTGATAATAGTAATATTTGTTGAACTTTTAAGGAATTTTTTTTGAATAGAGCAACATGTATATTAATTTTTATGGTAATAATTTTTTTTTAAAAAAAATTTCACAATCAATATAGATCTTATTTGATAAATCTTGATGAGAGAATTTTAAAAATATTTATTTTATTAAAAATCAATATTTACTCTCTTACACCCATCACATTAAAATTTAATATTTTGATAATAATCATATTTGTTGTTGCATTTCAAAGAATTTTTTTTATGCTTGTTCTTAATGCATTAAAGTGTTATTATGAGGGTAAGACTTGGGAGTTGGGAGAAGTTAATAAATGCTAAGATTTTTTTTTTAAATCAAAAAATCAAGAAATTTAGATTGAGAGATTGAAACTCCCACAAGACTTGGGATTTAAAATCTCCTTTTGCTTAATATATAGTATAGATAGATTTGCATATTATCCGTGCTATATGCACATGTATAAATAAATAATTAAAAATTAATTTTAAAATTAAAATAATAATATATAATTTATTTAAATTATATAGTAAAAATAATTTATAATTAATTAAATTTCATTTATTTTTATCAAAGTTACATATAAAAGAAGATTTTTATTCAAATATTATTAATTGTGCATTCTAAATTCTTAATAAAGAACTGCATGTCATAATTTAATTGGTATAATTAAAGAATAAATTACAAAAATTATATTTATTCTAAATATAAATATATTTCGTTTTTCAAGTTTTGTAATTTTAATTTCATAGTAAATTAAATTTATTAATATACTAATTTTTTCTTATTTTGTTAAACCTAAAAATTTATCTACTCAAAATTATAAATTGTCTTGTGACATAACTCTTATATAAAAATAAATTAGTATTGACTTGTAGTGTTGGGCTAAACATTAGAAGCGACCTAAAAACTACTTGACTTTATTTCAACGTGACTTTCACTTAATCATTAAAAATTGTGTTTATCGGTTCATGTGACCGGTCTGAGTTATTTTGGGAGTTCGAATATTGGATTAGATATTAAAAATTAGTAAAAAAATCTAATCCGAGTCAATTTTGTTTTCCCAATAATTCTTGGTTTAAGCCTATAATATAACATATTTTAATAACTCAATATCAAAAAAAAATTTAAAAAAAATCTTAATATTTATGGTGCTTTTTATCAATCAATAAAATATAAATCTTTTAATTACTTAAAAAATTAAATATCAAGAGAAAAATTCTATGAAAGATGTGAAATGATTCATATATTTTAATGGTACACAAATTTAAATTTTAAAACCAATTAGTTAAGTTTCATTTTCAAATTTCTAAATTTAAATTTGTAAATGGATTAATTAACTTTTTTTTTGAAATGTGTAAATCAAGAAATAATAAGATTTTTTTAAATGATTTAATAAAATCCAATTAATAGAAGATTTTTTTAATTATTTTAAAAAATAAACATCAAGAGAAAAAATCTATAGAAGTCTATATTTTAGTGGTATAAAAAATTAAATTTTAAAACTGATTAATTAACTTTTTCTTTTGAATTTTTTAAATGAATTCATTAACCTTTTCTTTTGAAATGTATAAATCAAGGTATAATCAGATTTTTTTTAATGATTCAATAAAAATTAGGCAATAGAAATTTTTTTAATTATTTAAAAAATAAGAATTCTACAAAAATAATAGGAAGGTTTTGAGTGCCACAAGGCTTTTCTTATTATAAATTGATTTTTTCCTTAATATATAGGGTTCGTTTGGCAAATATTTTTTTAGTCTAACTTTATGATTTTTTGGCTGATTTAACTTGGCAAAATTAATTTTGCTTGAGAAAAACTTTTTGATTTTTTAATTTTTTAATTTTTTATGAGAAAATAGTAAAATAAGTATAGTTTAAATGTAACATTCTATCTTATTAATTTACTTTACTTATTTATTTATTTATTGTGTTCTTTTTAATTCCAATCTAAACCCAATTCACTTGCTACTATCTAATTGGAAAAAAGGTGGAAAAATGGAAATTGACAAACAAGTTGGGCGGAGGGAAGGGATTATATAAAGGGTAAATTATAAATAAAAATTTGTTTAAGTATAAATTATCTCTTATAATTTGAAAAATTATAAATATTTTTTTATTAGTATTTTTTATTTAATAAAATTAATTAAAAAATAAAATTTATAATTAATCTCTTATATAATAATAAAATTATATAGATTATTAATTAAAAATATTTCTAATATCATTAAAAATTATTAATTAATTTCCTGATTTATAAAATTAAATTTTTTTTACTGAAATGTAATTTTTAAAATTACAGAGTTATTCATATTTTAATTATATTTTAATCAAATTTATTTGGAATTTATCCTTATATAAACACTCGCACCACACTCCAAGCTCTCTCTCTTTCAGTCCTCTCCCTCTCAGCCTCCGCACCAGCACACCTTCCTGATTCTCTTCCTGCTCAGGTTCTCTCTCTCTCTCTCTCTCTCTCTGTATATATGTCTATGGAAGATTGGATCTGAATTATTTTGTTCTTTTTTTGTGTGTGCAGGCGTTTGGATCTGTGAACAGGAAGAGAAGATGAATCGGTGCGGGGAGAAGAGCGGGGTCTCGATTTCAGCCTCTGATTCCGTCTTCTGCCCTAAACCTCGCCGAATCGGCCTGTCGAATCCCTCCATAAACGACCAAATCAGACCTTCGAGATGGCATCTCAAGTATATGTCCTAACTTCTTTAATTTTTTTTTGATTTTAGTCTCGATTTCTGTATAAAGTAATCTGATTTCGTTCTTTTTATCGAATAAATTCCAGTCATCAAACTGAGATTTACGAGTCCAAAGCAGGGATGGAACTTCTTGACATCATTCTAACCAAGGTATAATCTTCTCCTCCGTGTGTATTTTCTAGAGGAAAATGCTATGAACCCCAAATAATTTATCAAATTTTCTACCAAAATGGGATCACACAAAGGTCTCATATCATGTGAGAGGTTTGGTAAACAATTTAACTCTTTTCTGGGCGCTTTGTTTGGTTGCTGCGAAAAGTATAAAATGAAAATAATTTGACTTTTGGTGTTATATTTTGTAATCGTTAAAAACTGAACATGAAAACTTTACGATGAGATTGAGAAACTACGGCTTTGGGGATTCTGCTGCGGTGGGGGTTTTTCCTGATTTTTTTTTTTTTTTAATAATCTGAACCTGTATGGTTTGTCGAGTATAGCATTCATACGAAAAATCTACTTAATCCGATATCAACAACCTCATGATTAGATTCAAATTGTTTTAAAACAATTATTAAGATGTTAACTGTTTAGTTTTAGAAAACATGTGTTCTTGTTATAGGGTTATAGATTTTCAATTAATTTCATTTTTTTTTTTTTTGCATGAATGATCTATTCAGCGAGCCCTATAATATAAATGATTTGGATTAAAAAAAAAAATTATCAAAAAAGAATCCCACTGGGCCACCACAGATCGTGGCCGACTTATTCACAACAGCATCCCTTGGTCCGAGAAACTACTGGTTATGGAGTTTTCAAAATTATTTTTAAGGGTTGTTTGGGATGTCTTAAATAAGTGTATTTTTTGTCTTTTTATGAAAAGATGTACAGAAAAGTAAAGAGGTGATATAATGGAAAAAAAGATAAAAAGATGAATTATTTTTAGGTTGTCAAATTTAGCCTTAATTTTCAATTTGTATTCCGAAAATAATTGTAGTATGTTCTTGTTTGGCTAGTGAGAAATAGGGAGAAAAATCAAGTGGCCTAATTCTCGACTACGAACCAAAAATCTTCACTAAGCTTAGTTTATTTAAAAAGGGGGGAAAAATGGAAAACAGAAAATCATGTGAAAATGTTTATGTATGTTTTAAATCCAAAGCAACACTCCGTCTATAAAGAAAATCTTAGGAATTGATAAACCTAACTAGATCTATGAGATGCAAAATCAAAACCATAAAAACTATGTGGTTCACTCTCCATGGTTTCATTATGATCTGACAGAGTTATAATAAAATACAGAGAGATGTGGTACTGCTACTATAAAATATAATGTAATATTAGGGTAATAGGACAGAACCATGAAATATGGAACAAATTTTTATCAAGATCCACCCTCCCTAACAAATCTAAAGCAACACAAACCAGAAAACACGAGGCCCTAATTTCTGTTTTTTTTTTTTTTTTTTTTTTAAATTTCTTTTCCCCCTTTTTGGCGGTATTTTCATTTTCTTTAGTTTTATTAATTAGCAATGAAAGTGTATTCACAATCCTGATTGTTTGGCTTCATCTATGAACAGTTAATTATCCTTGTTGACTACTTTTTTTCAACGACTAATCCAAAGAACTTAAATTAATATTTATGACAGGGAAGTTACAGTGCTGAAAAATCCAATAATCAAGTGGCCTCATCGCCACCATTTTTTTGTGGGTCTCCACCCAGCAGGGCTTCAAACCCTATAATCCAAGACTCGCAATTCGGCAACATGTTTAGTCCATTACTGCAGGCACCCATTCTGCCAAAATCTCCATCCTCGTCCGCACGCAAAGGAGGATCATGCGTTTGGGTGAAATCTGGTCACAAACAGGCCACTGTGAGAGTCGAGGGGTTCGATTGCTTAAACCGAGATCGCAGAAGCATATCCGTTGTGGCATAAAAATAAAAGTAAAAAAAGCAAAAACACCCTCCAAAAGCAGGAGGGGGGGAGGCAAGAAGATGAATTTTGGGGAGAAGAGGACTTGTAACATTGTTTTGTTTTTTGCTTTTGTATATACAAGGTTGAAATGGTTCAATCATTTGTTTAGAGGTTGTGTTTGAATGAGAGAATATGCAAAATGTATATGTAATTAGGTTTGAATGGATGAGGAGAGAGATGGATGATCCTGCAATAAGAGTAAAAAGTCCATTGTCTTGGGTTTTTAGGTGGTGAGTTTTTTAAGACATATTGTTGCGAGTCTAGTCCTGCATTGTAATTGGAAGGGTGAGGAGTAAGTAGATGTGTCTGCTTTGAAATTTTCTGAGTTTTGTTCTTTGAATTGTTGCAACAAAATTTGATTTCCTTTGTATAATAGGATGTGGAAATGAGTTTGCCAAAGCAAGCACAAGTGTATATATATAAAGATGAAAACAAAGTTGTTTGTTTATGGTGTTTTAAATATTGAATGTGCGTTGAGTGAGTGTGCATAAATAATATGAAAAGGCGAGTTGGGAGAGGTGGGTGGGTTGTGTGATAAAAAGACATGGGAAGGTACGTGGCTGTGTTTGCTTTTGTCAGGGTGAGGATGGACACACTTGAATGGTGAGGGGTTGAAGTGGGGTACTATTCTTTGTTTGAAAGTTCATATGGCAGGCTGACCACTTTTCGTGGTAGATGCAGCTGACCTGTTGGGTGCTAATCCAAATAATTGAAGTGAGAGAAAGAGACCTATATATATAGAATTTGTATTGCTGACTCAGAGAGAGAGAAAAGAGAGGATTTGTAAAACAGTCCGGATTAGAGCACTAAATTGAAAGTTCTAAAAGCAACATTATATCAAAATAAGAGCTTCATGCTTGGGGAAGTCTATGGTATCAAAATAAAATTGTCAAGAATTTCATATGGTAGTGCATATTTTATGTTTATGCATGGGAGAAGTAAGTTGGTGTCGTCACGTGGTATTTTAGGCATGTGGTCACGTAGTATTTTAAGTATATTATGATTGGTAAATAGAATGAGAAATGAAATAATTGGGAGAAGTTATTTGGTGGTTGGGTGGTGGGCATGGTCTGAGATGGTGCTTGAAGAGTATCATGATTGATAAAAGGAGTAGAAGGTGAGGAATTGATAGGGAGAGTGAGATTCATCCCTTGGCGTTGGACTATAATAGATGACATTTATTGATTGATGAAAGAATTATTGCCTGAGACCATCTAATAACTTTTTTCTGTTGCGAGACATTTGAGTGAATTTTGACTATTAATATAAAATTTTAAATATTAAAAGAAAAGAAAAGAAAAAAAAAATCTAGGACAGTAGTGACTGATTGTTATGGTTGTGCTTTTTTCTGTTTGGCGTGCCTGCTAACTGTGACAATTGAAGGACCCACAGTGAGAGAAAAACAATGTACCAAACAAACCCTTCCGCTAAAGGTGATATATAGTTGAATAGCCATGATTGCCGGCTTAACTTGATTGGAATTATAAAATAGAATATGATGAGATTCATACTCTTCTACTTTATACTTCAAAACGATGGCATTAATTTTACCAATCTTATTAACCTCAGATTGATGGAGGAGTGATATATTATAATTTAACTTAAAATATAAGTGTTTAATTGTTAAAATTAAATATGAAGGGGTCAAAATTAAATTTTAATAAAAATGTAAAGTTGCCAAGTATAATTAGCTTTTTTTGGTTTAATAATCTATCAAAAAAATTTCTTGCACTTTTAGACTTTGTTTGAATGGACATAATCTTGAAATTAGACTAATAATTTAATAAAATGTGCAATTCAATATTTGGTTAAAGAAAATTAGAATTCAAATTAATAGTCCATTTGAACATAATATTCTCCAATTAAGAGATTAATGAATATTGAGAGAGGAATATGATATAAAATGAAATGAGAGATTCAAACTCACTAGTTAAATTGTAAATTAATAAGATTTTATTAAATCCTTCCAATGATTATAAGTCAATCCAAATACTAAAAAAGTTCAATTTCAATCCTAGTCTTAAAATTGTACCAACTAAAACCTATTGTTTTCAAAAGGTAGAGTTGGTCAAATTCCTCTCATAATAAAATTTTAATACATTAAGAACAAATATAAAATGTTCTTTTAAAAAGTCCAACAAATAATATTACTATCAAAATATATTTAGTGAGTAATTTAATATTTTAAATTTTAAGATAACATAACTTTTAATCTAAATGTCGGCTTTTAATAAAATTAGTTTTTTTAAAATCCTCTCATTAAGATCTATCAAATAAGATTTATGTTGGCTATGAAATACTTAAAAAATAAAAAATAAAAAAAATATCATCGAAATTAACGTAAACAGTAATATGTTACTTTATTTGACTGTAACATATTACTCTAATTCATAGTAACATTTTGCTGTTACAAATAATAGAGTACATATGCTAAATGAAACAACCAAAAATATATATTCACAATATTTTTAAACTTGTATAAAATAAAATAAAAGTATTTATTGTCAAAAGAGTTATGTTATATATAAGTGTGTATGCGTGCGCGCGCGCATTAGCAATATTGCAAAAGAAAGAAAAATAAATAAAATACTTTGTCCTTACTTAATTATGCGCCTCCTCCTTAGCGGGTTTATGAAGCAAAATAAATTAAGTTGTCATTTTCACAAAACAAGAAACTAATGGAGGGATTTTGACTAAATTTTCCTTTTAGAAACCTCAGTTGCTCTCTCTTTCTCTACTCTTAAGGGAGGGAGGGGGTGGTACTTTTAACCTTTCTCTCCCCTCTGTTTCTTCTCCTGCAATTTCTTTCACCATGCTAGTCACTACCGCTTCTCTTGTCTCCATCATCGGTTTGCCATCGATGAAGCGTTCAGATCTAAACTCAAATATGATTCTTGACTGAAATTCATTGTTATATGCTAGACGACCATCTCAAATCCATAATATTTTATTTTGTAACATCGAGGCAGGGATTAAGGTACCACAATTACAGATTGCGATGATGAATGGATTGTGAAAGTGATTAGTATTGTTTGTTTGGTGATGATCATGTTGTTTTTTTTGTTTTTATTGTAATAATATCTCTCTATGTAGAGGTTTTCTCATTTCATGGAGGTTTTCTCTTCCCTACGTGAAGGTTTTTTTTTTTTTCATTTGTGGAGACTTGTATTCTCTCTGCGTGGAGATTCTTTTTATTTCTTTTGGGATATATTTTGTACTCTAATATATTTTATTGGACAATTTATTATCGGATCTATAATATATCAAACCTCGTGCTTTTTCATAAAAAATAAAATAAAATCAATCTAAATATGAAATATGATACACAATTCAAACAAATTAAGGCATCGTTTGGGAACTGACTATTTTAGTAAATTTTTAACCTTTTATTAAAAGATGCGTAAAAAAGTAAAAAGAGTGATATGATAACTTATAGTAACTTTCAATTTTTTGACTAAAATATGTTTGTCCCCAAACAAAACCTAATATTCCTAAAATTAACAATTTAAAAAATATTTCATCCAAATAAACAAACCCTTTTACGTGCTTTGCTAACCAAACTCACCCACCACCGAATTATTCTAAAGCCACATGTTCCCATTTTCGAATAAGAAATCAAGTACTCAACGACTTCTGAAGATATTTTGCACACAATTCATTAATGGGTGACAAAATCGATAGGGCTATCACATGGTGTGTTACCATCTCACCAATATTCTACTTATCCCTTCACTGTTTTCATCACTTGGATTATGGTCAATTTTTTGTTGAAAGCTATGGAAAAAATTCACCATTTAGGATCGTTTATGAACGGATAGCTTGCCTTTAATTCAAGATCGGACTGGACGGTGCTGTTATTTAATGAGTAACTTGAATCATTGAAATGGACCGTGATGAGAAGCAAGATTTTTTCAACCACTTCATACTACAAGTTATTTCCCATCTGCATGAGTTGGATGTTGGACTGTCACGTCACTCGTGCAAAGGCAGCAACACTAGGTTAAAGAACCTAACTACATCAATGAACTTTTATGAAAGGTTTCATAATTTTTTTTTTTTAAAAAAAAAAAATTTAAATATGAAAAAAGAAAATATTAAATTCATAACGGATATACATGGGTTCTGAAAGAAAGTTTATAATAATCTGACTAAAAGAATCAATATGTATAATTACTGTTTCAATATTTATCAATTTAACACCCAAATAACACAAAATTTCCTGATGTGGGAACCAAAACAAAGATAATCAAGAAATACAAGCAACCTAACTACAATTTTCTATTTTAAAAATAAAAAATAAAAAAACAAGACATACCGAACTACATGATAATGCAAAATCCATGCGACTGCACAAGAAAAACGATGTAAAATAAAGTTCAATATTTGCAATTACTTATCCTCGTGCCACCTTTTGAGAAGCTTGGCTGATAAATTGCTTCCACTAGCAGATTTTTCCGAACCTGAAATAGTTGTAACAAGACAGTTAAAAAGACCAATGGCACAATAAATAGCTTGCTCAGATTATTCAGCGAGCACGAAGAGTTCTTTGGTGATTTTTGTAAGAGTCTGGGAATTCTAGATGCAAAAATTTAACCCTGCATAATAATTTTTTTCAAGCACAATCTAGTTATTCATTTTGTTTTCTAAGCAAGAAATGTTCCATGCCCCAATTTTCAGTTTTTAATAAGTTGGGGAAGAAAAATACTAAAAACATGTTTTTACAAGTGGTTAACAATATTCTCATGAAACCACAAGTATGATGAACAATGAAATTTCACCGTTCAAGAAATTCCTAAGAAAATAAGTAGTACTCACTTGTATGTTTTCTCTGATGGTTTTCATACCAGTAGGGGAAAAATATTCGATTCCACATTAGTGTCTGTATACACAGAAAGATGACAATCAGATATATCACTTATCTCTCCTCATATTCTGCCTTTCTGAATTCTAAGATCTCGGCATCTGCAGAAAATTCTGAGCTATCTTTCCTCCAGCCGGTTTTGATTGCCACAGAGGTTGTTCTGAACAGAAGCTGCTTTTTCATTAGCGCTCCGTTTGTTTCGGCGGATAACATTTTCCAATAGAAAATATTTTTTTTAAAGGAAACGTTTTCCTATGTTTGTTCACGACCTTGAAACTAGTGTACTAGTGGTTGTATTTGTGGTGGTGCTAGTGGGGTGGCAGGGGTCGAGGTCGTGGCCGTGGCGGTATTAGTGTGGTGCCATTGGTAAGATTTTAGTCCGAAAAATATTTTACATGTTTCAAAAGTAAAAAAACATTTTCCACTCAAATAAACTTGTTTTCCATTAATCATGGAAAATGTTTTTTTTGTGGATTTTGCTTTCCACCATACCAAATTCTAGAAAATGTTTTCTACCAGAACAAATGGAGAGCAAGTCCTGAGTCTTTTCCATCAGAAAATTTCAAGCTTCTTTCAGACAAGTCTCACCTATGGAAATTTTGTTTGGAAAGGAAGATACTTACCTAATTGAGCTTGTAGCACGCTTCTCGCCATTGACACCTGGGAACACATTTTTGAGATCTTTAAGCAGTTGCAGCCGCTCAATCTCCTCATCTTTTTTTGCAATTGTATCTTTGAGAGACGCCACCTACATAGTAAAAAGTTTTAGAAGCCGACACACTGTGTTCGTGTCATAATTTAGAATAAATGCTCCTTGAGAACATAAGGCTATAAATTTATTTCTACCCTTTTCCAAGTTCGATAATGTTTGAAATTTATGCACATATGACAAGAATGTGACATGTATGATGCAAAAGATGTATGCCTTCTAAATATCTAAAGAACATCCATATCAATAATATCATAAATTTTATTTCCTACGACTCAAAGCCATCACTACAGGTCACGACCTTTATATTTTTCAAGTATAAAAGAACACTCAAATCTAAAATTAAAACTATCGTGCTAATATATTTAGATGCCTAGGTTGATCTCAAATCCGAAATTCCCATTTGCACACATGTTCTAGCTAAAGATTGCTTCATCAGCATATAATCTTCAAACCAAAGTACTAGTAGAGGGGATGATGAGGTATGAAGAGATCAAGTTTGAAACTATATAAAATAAAAATTCAGAGTTCAAAAAAAAAATTAAATTAAACGAAAACGAAGAGCACCTGATCCATTAAATCCCTAACATCCCTACCCTCTTTGCTGCTTCGTGCGGTGCCTAACTCTACTCCAGAGACCCTCTCAGCAAACTTCAAGGTACTTACAGTTTCAGAATATGAATTTAACTCGGGATTAAGCTGCACGAACATTAGGGTCTTTGCATGACCACCTGTAGCATTAAATGAAAAAATTAAATAGAAAACATAACTTTAAAAAGGTAGAATCTATACTATCTACTAAATAAAGCACCCTTTTGGGTCTCCTTGGTTTCCCAATTGCAAAATCCAAATCACCCTCACCCCATCGTAGTTTAAACTTTGCCTAATAATCGATCATAACGCCCGCTTCATCAAACAATTATGGAAACAGTTGAACAGGGCAAGGTAACCTTCAAAATATAGGAAGTAAAAGAATAAGATATGGAGCATCGCTATATGGATCATGCACATAGCACCTTCCAAACCATCTAGCATTAGAGAAATGCAAAGATCACATAGGGTGTGTTTGGATCAAGTATTTGACGAGGGATTTGTGAAGTGAAAGAAAAGGGAACGAAATTTAGCTTGTATGATTGTATCTAATTCACTTTTCCCTTCTTTTTTCATTTCCCACCACAAATCAAAGCTCAAATACTTGATCCAATCATGCTCTTACAGAAATTTTGAAGCCATTTGATGCATGTCCAGAGAAAAGGGAATAAGCAAGTACCTAGAGCGCTTTGAAGGACTTGAGTGAGCTTGCTGTTTCTGTATGGAATATGACTACTCTTTTGTGCCAAAGCAAAAACGACATCTCCAAGGGCAGATAAAGATTTGTTTATATATTGAGCTTCCTTAAGTCTATCTCCGGTTACCTCAGAGCGATCTACTCTTTCACTTCCAGCGAGATCAACCAAATGAAGACTACCTCGCAAAGAAGCACCTGTCTTCGTATCCGTCCCACGAACATGAATAGTGACAACACTGTGAGCATACATGATCCACATCAAAATCATGACACAGTGGTGATAAAATGTTGATAGTTTGCATAAATTCTTAATATTTGAAAATAAAAACCTGTGTGATCGACTGCTTCTTTCATTCATGGCAGTGGCGCCTTTAGCTCTATTCCTCAATCCAGTTTCCATTAATTCCACTACGTCTGAGGTTGATTTGACCATTTGCATACAAGCATCAGGGACAGCTAACCCATTGGGTTGGGAGGTAGACAAAATCCCAAGTGTGTGCAAATCAAGGAAACCAAAGATTCATTGTAACTAAAAAGTAAGATGTTATATCCATTTTGACTAGAAAAACACTTATGCTATGTTTGGATCATAGATTTGGCTAAGAATTTGGAAAGGGACAAGAAAAAGATGCGAGAGTGTGCATGAAATATAAGCTAAATTTTTTCTTCATTCCCCTCACTTTTTCCTTTCCCTTTAGAAATTACTATCCAAATCCATGATCCAAACACAACCTTAATTAAGAAGTCTCTGAAAACTACAACATTGAAGTTAGAAAATGGGGTGTTGGGAGAGAGGGAGAGCTCTTTTGGGTAATCATTGAAGTTAGAAAAATCCAAGTGAAACTAAAATGCATATTAAGCAAATCTTAATGTGAAATCAAAAATTAGAATACATTGGGAAGGATATTTTTTTTGAGAACCGTCATTTGATAGTAAATCGCGCACTTGTTCGTTATATATTTCAACCATTTGAACATTAACTTCATACATAAAGACGCGACTTCTATTTTGAGAAATCTGGAAGAGATCATTTAGAGCTCGATAGTTTACCCCCCATTCCTCTTCAGATCCTCCATCAGGCCCAGTCTGAAAGAAACACATCAGATGCATAAGCTATGTTTAACAATTATCTGCAAATATTCATGAAGTGAAAATATAAAATCGAGTCATACCATCGTGTACGTTTTCCCTGAACCAGTTTGACCATAGGCAAATATACATACATTGTACCCATCAAGAACAGATCGTATCAATGGTTGGATGTGAGAATATACTTCAGCTGCCAACATTCAAAAATGTAAAATTAGTGATGTGTCACACCCCCACAATGTCACTCAACTAAGATGACATATTTAAGTAGCTAAGATGCATGGACACAAACACAGTCAAAGGAAAATAAGATTAAAAAAAAAATAAAAAAATAGAGACACGAACACAGCAGAAACATGGCCAAAAAAAAAAAAAAAACTATTATATATTTTTATTTGCTGTGTATATGAATATTATATTCACAAACAATCAAAATTAACAAAAACTAACACTAGCCCAATATAAAAATAATAAATAAATAAAAACACTCTTAAGTAAATTATCATCATTTTTGTCTTTTTTGTGGATGATTTATTAATTATTAAATCTAAGCAAAAAGTAATAAACATTCAACATCCAACATTCATCAAAAGTATTAAAGAAGAAGGGGCGAAAAACTAGTTAGCGTGTCCCCGGTGCGTCCCCGAAAAACAAATTAATTACATAAAAGAACATGCCAGCCAGTCTCGTACGTGTCCCCGTATTCGAAACCACTATGACACCTGTTTTGGAGTGTCAGTGCTTCATAATTAAGTAGAATAAAACATGACAACACTTAGCTAGTGCCATTATCTATTAAAAACAATTGAAAACAGGCACAATTTCTCAAATATAAAATGAAAACCTTGAGCTGCCATTGGACCATAGACCTTGTTAAACTTGAACAATTTCTGAGCATCTTTTCCTTGTTTGGAAGGGTTTGCAACACCCAGCTCCCCATTATCACCGATGTATTCTACGATTGATTGCTTCCCCGTCTGTCCAGGAAGAAATGGCCTTATCCGGCAATAAACTCTAATATTTCCTATTCAAGAAAATGCATATGTGAAAATATAAAAACTTATCTATTTACACTTTTGCAATGTAAAATAAAGCATTGGCACCTTTTAACTCTTGAACCTCATTATGCAGTTTCCTATTTTCAGCAAGGACTGCATTAGAATTTTCTGCCGCATCTGCTAAAGCTTTAAGCTTTATTCCTGAACAAGTTAGAATTTAATTCATGAGAGTATTGACATCATATAGAGCACAAATTCACAAAGGTTTGTAAAAAAAGATACTCACCTAAGCGATTGAATTCATCTGAATAGCTCTTTTGTGTTCTCGAAATTTCTTGCTTGATGGACTGAGACGAAAACTTCAATTCCTGAAAATTTTAATAAGTAAAATATAATATTACATTAAAAATTGGAATATAAAGTAAAGAGTATTATGACAAAACCAAACCCGCAATGCACCAAGCTGGAATTCTGTAAATATTTGGTAGATGTGCTCTTTCTTGTTCCATTGCTGACTTTTTGACTCGTGATTCGTTTCAAGCTCTTTAACCCTTTTCCTGGATTCCGTTAGGAGGTGCATAACTTCCGTCAACCTCTTCTCAAGCTCTCGTTGATTTCCCTTAGCTTCTGTTTCCATTTTTATGCAGCTCTCTTCATTTGCTTTCCTAGCCATTTCCAGTTCTTGTTTCAATGTCAAAATTTCATTATTAATTTGTTCCTTCTCTTTTGTCAATCTGACCATATCTTGTTCCTCAACTTTCTTTTTTTCCTCCATTTTGGTCTTATCAGTCTGTGATGTAAGAAAAAAAAAATCCCAAAATTATCAACTCAGGCTCTCTCACAAGCAGTTCAAGGTTAGAGATAAACAAGAAGCATACCTTCTCATCTATGTAAAAGAAAAAAATACACAAAAGAAGAACATAAAGAAAGGAAGTGGCTCCAAAATCAAATTATACCTTTGTCTGCTGGAGCTGGTTCATGGCAACCTGTAACAAAGAAATCTCATTTGATGAATACCCGATGAGTACCAAGTGCACAAAAACATTAATTTGTTAGGGTAAAAAAACTATGAATAAAACATATGTATCCTACCTGTGTCTCTTCACTAGTCCCAGTTGCAAGGGCTTCAAGTACTCTAATTCTTGATTGATATTTCTCCTCCCGAGCCTTGAAAAGATTGCTTTGCTGCAATCACAAACAATAAATAAATGTGTGCACAGAAATCAATAAAAAAAAACAAGTAAAAAAACAAATCTGTATTGCATTACAGTTCTCAAATGTTCTGCTTGAGTAGATATACGCCTCTCAATCTCCTGCACAACTTTTCTCAATAGGCATGCCACACGCTGAAGGGGGAAAAAAAAAGAAAGCAACTTAAAATGTGAGAGCGTGTCTTCAGAAGCAAACATGCTTATATTAATAAGAATATACATGAACTTAACACCAATATCTCCTCTTATTTTCATACATGAGGTATTTCCCCATTCTTCCTTTCAATGCTTTCATCTAGAATCCCATTCACAACACTCAAGAGCGACTGAGTCGGGGCGTTCTGCACAGAGATATACTGAAACTATTTAAAGAGGCACAAACTGAAAAAATCACAAATAGAAATATACACTGTAGCTAAATGATAAGATTCGCCGATGATTAAGGCTATGTTTGGATCATTGATTTGGATAGAGATTTGGAACTAGAAAGTAGAAGGTGAGGGAAATTGAGAAAAAAAATTAGCTTATAATTCATTTGACATTTCCCTCACCTTTTCCTTTCCCTTTCCAAATCAATACCCAAATTCATGATCCAATCAATGCCTAAATGTCTTAGAAACCTACATCCAAACTGTTTGTTCTCATCATTTCCGTAATCTTTGCTGCAGGAAGATCTGCGTAGGATCCTTGTTTCAGCTGAAAAACTTCGTGGAACTTATGTCCAACATGATGTATTAATGCAGCTGATGGCTCTACAGAAGGGGGAGCAAGAAATTGAAAATCAAAAAATTGATTGGCAACTCAAGAAACTGAGCGGTACAAGAAGTTAAGCCATGTTTGGCATATGAAAACTACATCTGTTGCTCAAATCTATTTATTAGTTTCAAATCCATGAAGATTTGACAGTTTCAAGAGCTGGTAATACAATATAAAATCATATTCCTTATGGCATGATATTTCATATACCAAACCTGAATGCAAAACCGCGGAAAACCAAAGAATACACATTGATCCAAGTCTCTATCCTCAACATATAATCATACTAGATTCATACAACAATGGGCTTTTCGCATGGTTCATTGAAACCGTACAATGTAAAGAAACTATTCACACATAGACAGATTAGTAGAGACAGAGAGAGAGCAGGACAGATACCTGCCATGACATGACTACGCAAAGCACGTTGAAACTTTGAGTCAGATGCAGTCTTTCTTCTCTCTTCTCCATAAAACACTGAAGGATTTGCTCGAGGAGATAATTCCCCTCGAGAACCATCACCGCCTCCAAGTGTTTGTCCTAAAAGTTTCCATCTTGTACTAGCATCAACTCCAGATTTTTTGGGTGAGCTAGAGTTTGGAACATTGGATCCACCAACATGTGGCATGAATTGAGCTCTAAGCGTGAAAAGGCATTCCAAAACAATTTTCATAGATCCCTGAATCATGTAAAAGTAAACAGTAGAGGAAGAGAGATGAGAATAAGAAGGAAAAAAATGGTTAAGAGGTCTGGGGAGCATAAAACAGCAAGTGAAAGAACATAAGAGAATGGTATTTTGTTCAAATGCTAGTTCATGTAAATATTAAATACCTTCTCTAAGTCTGATATTTGAAACCTGGGCAATTTCATTTCATCCATAGCTGCCAAAAACCTTTTTACATTATCTGAGCGTGATTCTGAAGGGTGGTTAGAGCCTCCACCCTAGAAGAAAAAAAATCACATTAAGAGCATAATCATTAAATACAACAACCAATCGTAGATCTTACTATAAATTTTATGAAAACCATCCATAATTATTTGACAACCTCAATCACAGAACCTGGCCTCAGCCTGTTCAAAATCCGGCATAAAACAGTACCATCACTCAAACAAGCTCTAAGTTCTTCGTCTGAAGCATTTGTTGGCAAACTTAAATTGGAAATGATGCTGTTTAACCACTCTATCAAAACCACCCGTTGTTTACCTGTAGAAAAGAGGGGAAAAGGGGGACGAAAGAAGAAACATTTTAGCTTAGTGAATAAGTGGAAAAGAAAATTATGTTTATATTCAATGTTACTCACCTTCAACCTCACCATTACTACTTGTCGTAGGTTCAAAAACATTACTACTAATAGGTACAGTTGTGTTGTTAGGTCTCCCATACCCCTTTGCTTGGTGGTCCATTGTAAATTTCTTCATGGAATGCTTGCTTGGGACATCTGGCATCACAGCCCAAGGATGTAAACATAGGATAAGCACAAAGGCGTGATGTTTTCATGAAAAAAAAGAGACCAAAAGTTCAAGAACAACAAAGAAAGAATATCATAACACAACCCCTGGAAGCCCAAAATAGAGAATCGTCACATTGTTTTGGAAGTTGCAATGAGGTAGATATAACATGAATAAAAAAATTTCAATGTTGTTTCAATATTGCACTAAACCCTAAATAACTTGAGCACATCTTGAATCCAATTTTTCAGCATTCAAGTAATTATATAAAATCATAGGCCAGGTTTCTTTTCTTATCACCAACATTTTTTATTTTTTTTCCGGTGGTCTTCATCTTGTACTTACTGTTGATTTGCCAATTAAATCCTTTCTACCACATTCACAAAGTCCTCATTCCCAGTGGTGAACCTAGAAACAAAGATTAGGAGGGACCAAGAGATGGACATAAGTTGGTTGGTTCAACTTATATCAAACTTTTCTCTATCAATATTTACCCCAAAATATATATATATATATATCTTACCATCAATTTGATTAATTTGAAACCATGGGTCTTAAAATCTAAGCAAGGCAAACCAAAATCTATAATTATTCAGTTCAAGCCACAGATTAAATTAAATGTATATTACAAATTTCGATATAATTTTTCAAAAATAATTATCAAAATTTACTAAAATCTCAGTTGACCAGCTTAATTCTTAAAATTGCAAACCTAAATAGGCTAGCATGGGTGCTCTAACAAACAAATGAAACTTAAGTTCCAAATTGATATGAGATAAATAACTAGAAACCACAAGATAGTCAGGTTACTTCATGCCCAGGCAGTAATACAGTCAACAAAAGTTTAAATTTATTATTTAGCTTTTCATTACCTGACGAGTTCCATAATAGACATAAAAGAATGAGAATGTATAGTTGTATCAAAATTATCCTCTAGTTCAACCAATGTCATAGAGTAAATTATATATGTTGTCCCTGTAATTTGCCTCTTGTATCAATTTGGTCCTTATACATTCAATTTTATGACTTTTGCCCTTTTCAAATTGTGTCAATTTTGTGTAATTGATAACACTCGTTAATAAATTGAACAAAAATCAAGGGACAAAATGATCCATTCAAAAGGGAATGGACTATTTCAAATTGGATATCAACGCCCATGCTTGCTCACCAAGTTCTTTAGCTTTTGTATCCTGCCTTCTGTGTACTATGCTAACCCCTCAATCATTTTGAGAAAAGTGAGTGGATTATTTTGTCCTTGATTTTAGTTCAATTTCTTAAAAAGGCCATTTTTGGTTTACATAATGTGAAAAATTCAAGGGGTAAAATTGATGCAAATAGAATGAAAAGAACCAAATTGATACAAGAAATAAACTACGGGACTATGGATGTGATTTACCCAATACTATATTAATCCAAGTACGAAGGGCATTCACAGCTATGCATTTCTATCTGCCAGCAAGCTACTAGGAATGCTTGTTCCATCTTTGGAGGGGCCAGCTATCTTTGTGAAGGGGGGCCAGCACTTCATCATACTAACCATGAAAGGATGATTTTACTGATACTAATGGAAAAATTTTGAGCTTTAGGGGGTCGGTGGCCCTCCTCTGTCGCCCCTTCTGTCCGCCAATGCCCGTTGCACATGAAGAAACCATGTCAACAATTCTTCCCCTTCTAGTCCTTAACTGGTAGCTTGACCCCAACTCAGTTTAGTCCAATTAAATAAACTTGCCCAAATACTCAGACTGAGTTGCCTTTTTCTATCCCCTACCACAAAGATAAATGGTTTGTTAAGGTTTGAGAGATTTACAGTGACAAAATCAAAGTAGGTGGTCTTATGAGTTCGTGATATCATACATTAAGTAGGAAGATGCCAGAATTATGATGCATGTGACTGTTACCAGGCGTTCTTTACACAATCGCATGCTCACTTGTCAGATTTTGAGTGAATATTCATGGCAGTGCATTAGAGCTATTATCAAGGAAAGACCTTAACAAGAACTAAATTCTGCAAAAAGGTATTGTTAAGTGTTTAATGGAAACAGTTTTAGTCAAGGAAAGAGCTTAATTTTTTTCAGAACTAATATTTGTTGATCTGTGTGATCACATGAAACATGATGGTTATTCCCATATGAGAGAGAGAGAGAGGATGTTTGAGAAGTGATCAATCCAAACGGTTACATGTGGAAGAGATACAACCATTTGCTAGACATCCTTACCGTACATCTAATCACCATTAGAAAGCATCATCCATTACTTACCTAGCATTAAACTCTCCATGAAGCATAGTCTTTCTTAGCATGTAACAACTTAAAAAAATATCAGATCAAGAGCAATACCCAAATATTACTATTTACACGTTCACATCTATAATGAATACGCAAGGTCCAACAGGGAGACGAAACGGATGTTTTGGCTCCTGGCTAGCGGTTACAAGAGGACTCAAAGCAAAAGAGGACTTGAAAGGGACGGGCAATGCTTTGTAATTGACTTTAGCTAATGCCCTATTTGAATTAAAGCTTAAGCATTGTTTTTTGTTCATTTGGTTTCTCATTCTTTGGTTTGCTTTTTCAATACCAATAAAGAACACCATTATGTTTTGTCTCTAATAAAGTGCCACAACATATATAATTATACATACAACAAAGCAAACTGACATACCTGGCCTTCAGAAGACAGAAGAACCTTTCTACAAACACTTGAATTGCCAAACATTAACTCGACAATCACGGGAAGAAACTGCAATACAATTATGATAAATCAAAGAATTCAAAACCCAACTCAATAAGAGCAACATAATAGCTTACAACCCATAAAAAATATTCACTTGACACGATCAAATCAACAAAAGCAATCACATTAAACTATTAAACCTCTACAAGCCAAGTCAAAAAAAAAAACCAGTTGAAAGATGATGATACTAGTAATTGTAACTCAAATCAGGCCATCAAAATTGCCAGAGTGAAGCCCAGGAAAATCTCAGAAGTATCTGAATTGATTGAAAAATCATTACCCAAATACAAAATTTTAAATCAATTTGAAAATGTGAACCCAAAACAAGCGCAAATGTACAAAAAACAAGAAGCCATTTCACACAGAACTTGAAAACAAAAACCCAATTGATTAGTCAACACAAAACACTAAAATATCAATACATTTTCAAAATTCAGACTGAACCCAAATGCTGTGACGAATCGTTTTGACAAAAAAAGAACACAAACCCACCTGAGGAAAGGGACAGAGAGGTCCGTAAATGAGATTGAAAGTGGGCAGAGAAGAAAAGGAAAGAGAAAATGAAATGAGGTTGATTTTGTTGAGAATTGAAGACTGGTTTTCCATGTTTGGTTGGTCTCCTAAGAGAGGTGGATAATCTGTCTGTGTTCCGAGAAAGTAGGAGTACAAGAATTGGGGTCTAGATTGTTCGTGCATTGTATGACACGTGTCGACCCATAAGGCCTCCCACATTGGGTTCTTTGGGGGTGTGGTAGTCAGTGAAAGGTGGAAAGTGGTACGCCGCCATGGCCACGAGATTTTGAAGCTTATTGAAAATATTTTGGAATAGTAAAATATTAAATGAACTAACAAAACACAGTAAGCCTCCGTTTGGGAAGTGGGTTGACTTTTTGGCTTTTTGACTATTTTACCCTGGGCTTAAAAGTTTGGTTTGGGAAGGGCTTTTTGACTTTTTGGCTTTTTTGAGTTTTGTTGTGAGAGAATAATGTAATGATTATGGGTTGGATGTGATGTTTTGTTTGTTATGGCTAAAATAGCCTATTTTGTCTTTTGTGGCTAAAATAGCCAAAAAAGCCCAAGAACCAACTTGCCAAACAGAGGCTAATTTAATTTTTATTTTATTTTGGCCATATTAGAGCATCTAACGGTGTACTCTTTTTTTTTTTTTTTAATTAAATTTGGTAAAAATTTCATTTGATATCAAGTAATCTAACGGAGAATTTTGAGCTTTCATCAACACACTAGTCGATCAGCGCAGATGACCAGGCGGATGTCCGGCCGGTCGACCGGTCAATGTAATTTTTTCATAAATTTTTGCAAAGAGGTGGTAATCTGAGAGACATCTGGTGGTAAAAATTGTTGTGAATAGTGATTTGATGAAAACTTCTAAGAGCATCTCCAACGGTGACTCAAATTTTTCACCAAATTTGAGTAAAAAATGACCCATTTCACTAAATTGATACCACTCGCTCCAACGGTTCACCTTTCACCAAATTTATTCCGGGACAACCGGATAGTCAACCGGCCGGTTGACCGGTTAGGTAATTTTTTTTTTTTTTATTTTTTTTTTTTAACGGTTTGAACTTTTTTTCCTGAACTGTTTGAATCTTTTACTGGTTGATCGGTTGGTCAACCGGCTGGTTGACCGGTGTACCTCTTTCAACGGTTAGTAACAGTGATTTGATAAAATCTGTGTCTCGTTCTCAGTTTGATACTTTTTTTGCTGAAATCTCATTTTGATATCAATCTGGTGCAACGGTTGGAGCTTGAAAAAGTAGGTTTTTCATCAAAATTTGAATTTGATGCTGGGGTTTGGTTCACCGTTGGAGATGGTCTAACCATCCTTAATTTGATACTCATATAATGAAATTATTGGAATAAGAAAAAATAATAACTTTTTGATAAAAAAAATTGATGATACGTTGGAAATAGTCTTACAGGGACTACTTTTGAGTGAGGATGGTGCTGAGTTGAATTTGGAGCAAATTTAAAGTAATTTGCCTCCGCATCCAATCTTGGATGGGTCAAATTGTGAGGGTGATGGTTGATTTTGTAAGTTAAATAATGAAAATATTAATTAAAATTGGGTGTGACTTATGTCCCATCCATAATTGGATTGGACCGTATTATTGGGTCCTGTGGGTCTACCACGGAGCTTATCGATAATTCAAATCATTTGATGTGTATTACTCGTCAAATATTTTATTCTTGTAAAAAGTCACGTTGATCAGATATTAATAGTGACTTAATCAGATCAAATTTTTGTCAACGTTTAATATAATTTAAAAAAATTATTAATAGAAATGTGATATGATCAAATAGAAATCGATATTCGATCAATATGATTTCAATAGGGATAAAGTATTCAACGAACTTTACACATTGAACGGTTTGGATTATCGATATGGGCTCCACGAAAGCCCAACAGTACGATCCAGTCTAAAACCAGGTTGGAGATAAGCCTTACCCATAAAAATTATAAAATTAATGAATAAAAACTAATATCAAGTATAATATTTTTAATTTTAATTTTGTTACAATGAAAAAAATTAATGGGAGATTGATCAATAAGTCCTATATTTTGGACTTATAATCCATATAGTCCCATATTTTTTTTCCTGCGATCTATTTAGTCTTTTTGGATGTGTAATGACTCATTTGCCCACCACATTAGAGTGTCACATTTGAAAAAAATACACTAAAGAGTTTTTTAGTATCATATTATACACATCACGTTAGATTGTTACATTTGAAAAAAGTACATTAACGAGTTTTTAATTTTTTTAAAGTGTCATATCATACCCGCTACGTTGGAGTGTCAAAAGTACACTAAGCAATTTTTAATTTTTTTTAGAGTGTCACATCATACCCGCTGTGTTGTCACTTTTGAGAAAAGTACACTATGGAGTTTTTATTTTTTTTGAAATGTCACATCATCCTCGTCACGTTGTCACATTAGGGAAAAGTATACTAAAGAATTTTTATTTTTTTGGAAATATCACATCATACCCGCCACATTATCACATTAGGAAAAAATACACTAAAGAATTTTTATTTTTTTAAAATGTCACATCATACTCGTCACGTTGTCACATTAGGGAAAAACATAGTAAAGAGTTTTTTTTTTTTTAGAGTAAAAGTTTTGGAGTGTTACATCATGCATGTCACGTTGTCATATTTAGAAAAAGTACACTAAGGAATTTTTAATTTTTTTTTAAGTATCACATTTAGGAAAAATATATTAAGGAATTTTTAATTTTTTTTAGAATGTCATATCGTTGGAGTATTACATTAATACCTGTCACATTAATAAAAAGGTATCCATCAAAACACTAACAAAATCAAAAATATGATCACATAGAAAGAAACTCTCCACTAATAAAACTTAACAGATCAATAGAAAAAACTTAGAACTAATTGGAATACTTATTTGTGAGATGAAATTTATCAGTAAATATTTCAAAATTAAATCATATTATATATATATATATATTTAATAAATATAATTGGATAAAAAGTGGAGTAGAACGGAGGGAGAAGCAAAATCTGTTCACGCTCTAGGGACGAAAAAACCCATACGGGACGGGATGGGGATGCATGGGCAGAATGGAATGGTGCAAATTGACCATCTTTTAAGGGTTAATTTTTTTTTTTTTATAAATGTGATATAATTGCAATTTATTTTTAAAGTAAGATTAATAAGGATAGTATATATGCAAACTCGTGAATAATTATGAGTAATATCCACGATTTAATATAAAAAGATGGTATTATAATAAATATATATTTTTTATTCCAATAGTGGAGGTAGAGGGCTTGCCCCTCCAAAAATTTTAAAATTGTCCATTTTTATATATGGTTTATTTTCTTAACTTTTTTGGACCTCATGTATTGCCTCCAAACTCAATCAATTCCTATTTAAATTTTGATTAGATCACTTTGAGTAAGAATTATTTTTCAAAATTTAGGCCAAGTTTGGCAAGTTGAAAAAAAGTCAAAAAATTACTCAAAAAGTTAAAAACTACAGCTACACAACTCTCAATCTTAATTTTTTTCTACACACTAGTTTATACAATTTTTTAATACGCATTTTTTCATAAAAAGTCAAAAAATTAACCCAAACAATCATATTTTTTTCCTCAATTTTTTAGTCTAAAAAGTCAAAAAGTGCACTTATTTAGGACATCCCAAACAACTCCTTAATACCCAATTAACGACTTTCCAAAAAAAGTCATTGGTACTGCATCAATTTTTTTGGAGGAGCTTTTTTTAGTAAATTCTCTTTCTAAGAGTTTTATTCCATCTAATCCATGTTCTTTTTTTATTATTCTATTAGATCCTATTTAAGGTTAGAAGGCCAAAACACCCTCAATCTCTCGTATACCTGTTATATTCTAAAATCAAAACCAATCTTATTTCATTATCGTTCCATATTTCACTTCCCAAATCATTCCTTTCCAAAACCATCACTGTTGCAGCAAAACTCACAAACCCTAACCCTAGGTTTCACATCGCTTCACCACCATCCTATTGTCATCTACTGCCGCCCACAGTTGCCGACGACTGGTATTCCGTTTCGATCCACCACTGCGAATGTTTATATTGATTCGATATCACCAACCGTGGTTCGTTCGTGGCCGACCACAATGAGAAGCAAATATAAGCACCCATTCTTCCACTCTCTGTTTTTCGTTCAATTGAATCTAAATAACTGATATAAGCATTTACATTACGTGATTATTATTGTTGCCTTTTGTTATCATATGTTATTGTTTTGTAACCGCGATTTGTTCATGGCTGGCCACAATGAGAAGCAAATGTAAGCACCTATCCTTCCACCCTTTGTTTTTTGTTCAATTAACCTAAATAACTGATGTAAGCATATTACCTAATTATTGTTGTCGTTTTTTGTTGTCATATGCTATTATTTTGTAATAAACTCCCTATTTTCCTTCCTTCTATGAATGCTAGTGTTGTTGATTGTTGATTGTGATCAAATAATTAGAACCCTCAATTTCTGATTTTTTTCTCCTCGATCTTTTGGTTCAATGTGAATTCCTACACAGATGGTTACCATTATTGTTGAATAACGTCTGATGTCAACATTCACATCAAGTACCTAACTGATATAAACATTTACATAATTTGTTATTATTATTGATTTTTTGTTGTCATATGCTACTATTTTGTAATAAACTCTTTATTTTCCCCTTATCTGTCAATACTGGACTTGTTAATCGTATTGATTGTTGATGGTGATCAAATAATTAGAACCTCCCAATTTCTTATTATTTTTTCCCATCTTTTAGTTCAATGTGAATTCCTACACAGATGATGTAAATGTTTACATCATTTGGTTATATTTGTGATTTAAGTAACCCCCGACGTGAACATTCACATCAGAAACCTAACTGATGTAAACATTTACATGATTTGATTATTATTGTTGGTTTTTTGTTGTCATTTGCTATTGTTTTGTAATAAACTCCCTAATTTTCCCATTCTATTAATATCGGACTTGTTAACCCACCAATTTCTGATTATTTTCTCCCCTCTTTTGGTTCAATGTGAATTCCTACACAGACGATATAAATATTTACATCATCTGGTTATCATTGTTGTTGAGTAATAACCCATATGAACACTCACACCATGTATCTAACTTTATTCATTGTTGTTTTATCATGTGTTATAATGCGTTTATGTGAACAATCATATTACCCACTATCTTTTTGGTTCAATGTGCATTTAGAAACAAATTATTGGAACCCCCAA